GGTTGAGCCTGAAGTTCGGGGCGTTGGCGCTTCTGGGGTTGACTCAGGGTAGATGGCCGCAGAATAAAAATAACCGTGGGCTGTAAAACTCGAGGATGCTAGCAGCGAGCCCGCTTACGAAGCGGCGAGCCAACCTGAATCCTGTGGTGGTGGGCGTAACCAAGCTGCTGGCCAGCGAGCCTCGCTGCCGACAGTCGGACGAGCCTATCTATGGAACAGAGTGGGTGGGGGTGGTCAAGCCTCACTATTTTAACGCGGCGCCATCTGCGGCCCGGGCGTTCTACAATCTCAGTTAGCAGGCGCGGGGAAGCTTGTACGTGTATGTACGAGGAGTGTAGGAGTGTGGGCGAGATGTCCGGAGAGTAAGGGCCAGCACGGATCTCGCGGCTGTAGGTCACAGGTCGCACGCACCGGGTTAAATTTTGGCGTCAGGCATTGAGGTAATTGTCACGGGACGGAGTCCGTACAGCGCGCACACGCGTGGCTGTAATTTTCTGCGTAAAGCAGGTGTTCTGAAAGGAAAAGGTGCCCGGAGTGTTGTTAATATTAAGCAATTCATTGTAACTTGTACAATCATCTTTTAATATATTATTTTTATTTGTTTGTTTGAAATTTATGTTCTATTTCCACTACGTCACACTTGCATAAATCTTACGCACACTTCTGAAATGCTTCAGAATACAAATTTGCTGGTACTAGAATAGGCATAGCCTGCATGGAATAATTTTTGCATTAATAACTTCTTCACTTGGGAACTTATTCAGGCTAGTTTCCCTTCCTCCCCCGCAGCGCACTTTCACCAACCTAACGGTTCTGGCCCTCGTGTTAACGACGCCACACAAGTATAGTTCATATTTAATACTTTGAAGTGATGTCTTATTTACTATTATTTCTGTTTAGGTTTGTGGAAGCGCCTAAAAATTTCCACAAAAGAAAAAATAGATGCCATCATGAGCGAGGCGAGGAAGACTGGTGGAGGACCTTCCTCAGTTTTAAATTTAGATTCAGTGGAGGAAATAGTTTCAGGAATGCTGGGGTCATCAGTGGATCCATTACCAATGGATCATGATAATGATGCCGCAGCCTTTCAGGTACTATTTTGGAAAAGCTTTGTTGGTGACATGTTTTCTCTACATAAAATACAACTTCCAAATTCTCATTCATGGTTTCTTAATTCATGTGGTACAGGAAGGGCAAATGGAAATAATCGAAGGGGTTGTGGAGGCTGTGCCAGAAACAGAAGTGGAGTATGTGCCTCCTCAAAATGAAAGGTCAGGCCGAGTCCCACAAAAGAAGTAAGTAAAACTGTTTTGATGGACAATTATGAAATATGAATGATTTAATGAATTGAATGATGAATTCAACACTTGAAGAAATAAGTAACTATAAATCTAAAGTTAATGGCTGGCTTTTTTCCAGTAAAAAATTATCATATGATGAGCAGCTGCTCCAGATGGCACAACAAGAGCACCTGCAGAAATTGTCTGACAATGCGAAAAGAATGCAGATGCAAGTCAGAGATCAAGAGATGCAAATCAAAGAACACGAGATGAAAATGCAGATTTTGCAGTTAGAAAGAAAGATTAAATTAAAAATATTAAAGAGTAAATGCAAGATATCCAGAGAAGGTGCCACTCTCCAACACCTCTTTTATTACCGAATTTCGAAAAATTCTACTGTCATGGTATGAGCCAGGCCATCTTGCCACAATATTTGTGATTTTCATGTTAGCATCACAAATTACCTGGAAATCCAAAATTCATGTTTTTCTCAATCCAGTTGTAAAAGCACTCTCAATGAAATTATAAAATAAGAAAACTATTTTTACTTTACCTGACAGTTGATTGAGTAGTATCTTTTTCTATTGCAGTATCTTTCTGCTTCCTCCTTCCTTGGACACACTATCCTGATATGGGTGCAATCTATTGCTCCAATGATCCCAGGAAAATTATCACTGCATCAAGAGAATTTCATAATAAATATTTTCTTTCTCCTCCAATTGGAGTATCGTATTACAAAGTAACTTAGTTAAAAGGTTTTAAAAACTGCATTTTAAGAAAATAGAATAAATAAACGTTTACAAATATTAGGAATATGGTGGTGAATTTCTTTTTGTGTTATGGATTAGAAGTTAAAATTGCTTTTACCACAAATTTATTTCATAAAACATCTCCACTAATGGGCTGTTTTCAAGCCTGAGGATATTCATTTTATCTTTTATAAGAACTGATTATTAAATTGTAAGTGAATTCAGAAACAAATTCTAAAAAATATAAATAAAAGTGAAAACAATGTTTTTGTTAATAGGCTTGTAAGTGTGTAAGAAATGTAGTTGTTTATGAAGAAACAATTCATATACAAATCTATGCCTAGTGAAAGAGAGTACAATAAGGAAATCAGTGAAATAAAATATACATTTATTTTTCCCAAGTATGCTCCTTGGGTAGTATGTGCAAGGAAACATATAAGTTAGTATAATTTACCGTGATAGCTCTGAGAGCTGTTGCTTCACTCTGGGGTGATCACGTCTGTGGGGGAAATATATGTATTTGCGAATCCATGAACATATAACTTCAGAGACATTCTGAATTAAGCGACACACTTGACTTTCATGAATGCCCACTAGGTCTCCAATTACAATTTGGAATGCTCCAGTGGCGTAAAATGTGTGAAAGGAGGCCAAACAATTTATTTCTTTTGATATGATTTTATTGCAAAGCAATATATTTGTAATATAATAAATAATAATTATTGAATCACATATACAATTACAATCGTGTATGCCAAGACAAATATGATATATATAGAGGGAGTACAATTGCATACATCTTCTTGAGTACAGCAAGTGAAGTTACATTTATTGTCCAGAATCGAAACAAGGGGCCATCTCAGCATTTGCTGAATGGACCAGGGAAACTTGACAAAAAACCTGACCAAGATGGGGTCATTGGCCTAGAGATTATACTACAATACTTGTTAAAGATATATCAAGATATTACATAGTAGATAATTATTTTCAGTAGCAAAATAGTTGAACATTTAACTTACTTTAATTTAATTTAAAATACTTATTTCAAGATTTGTACAGTTTCATTTTGGTATACTGATTTTACTGCTACTACTTAATAATAATAATAATATTAATAATAATAATAATAATAAATAATATAATTATAATAGATAATATTACTTATAAAATAATAATAATAGTAATGACACTACTAATACTAATACTAGCACTACATGATATCAATTATGGTAACAGCTACATATGATTTAACAGTATTAGCATATTCCTTGATTAAATTTTGAAATGGTGAGGACGAGGCGAAAGGTTATGGCCAGTTTTTTTCTTCTTCTCTCTATACAGTTTCATGCGTTGGCTTGTATTGTTGGGTGGCTGGTTATCTACATCCGCATTCAATTAGCATGTAAAAATGTAATATAGAAAATACATGTGAAACGGCAATTACTAACCTCAAAACTATCAGGAGCTGGAGTATCACTGGTAACCCCAAGTCTCTTCTGTCTTGGTGTTGTAGGTTAGGTCGCAACATCTCTGCCAAGTAAATCGTCGTTTCTTTTGAAAAACGATACCTTCTTCGAAATTCTTTTTCTGTAAAATTTTCGAGAGTGTTGCTACGATCCCGCAAGATCCTCGTTCGCGGGTGCAGTGCTCTATGGAGGTTTATTCTCCGCCGAAACTTCTCAAATCGCTGAAAATACTCCATATTCCCAGTCACTTTTGTGCTACAGCCGTGGTTTCAAACCTCCCTTTGACGCGGTCTGTAATCGAGAACCACGTCTCGAGACACGGTCTGAAAATGGCGCACGAACTTCGTTCTAGCAGGCGAAATCCTGGTTTGAAACCACGTCTTGAAGAAACCGCGTCCAGACCCCTTCTTAGAAAGCGACCCGTGGAGTTTTTAGAACACAAGCCAAAAACCGGTTGTAGAACATAAAACATCTGATATTGCTTTAACATGAAATTAGATGTTATTTACTAAATCAAAAGAACAAGACGTTCATTCTAAATCTGATAGTGACTCTATCGCCTACAAGTTCCGTATTCTCCTTGTGTAACGAATTGAACAAAAATACAGTTGTTTGGCCTCGTCCTGTCGGCTTTTTTGGTTTTGTTTTACTGTTTGAGACGTTGACGCGTTGGAGATGATCGTTGCGTCACTGATGACTGATAGATCAGTCAATGTTAAGAAGTGGAAGGTTCATGCATAGATTCTTGTCTGTTAAGTGCTTCCCGTCCGTAAATCAGAATTGTTTACTAAAAGTCTTTTTGATTTATTTCACATTCTTGCCACGTACAATAAATAACTCAATGTTTAAAAAAACACTAAACAAAACAAAGTCAGAATTCACTGTTCAATCATATTCTTGGAGGAGAAGTACATAAAGAAGTAATGAATATGAAACAGGATTTCCGACAGCAGCTTCCTGGCTAGGTAGAGTTCAATTGCAGCCTGGAGGGCAATTCTAGCGGAGCGCTGCTCTGATAGGTAGTTTTCTCCCATCAACACCAGACGAATGCCGGAGCAGTACTTTAACACACAGGTCACGGAACGCACGCGATGCATCCTTCCTTTTCTTTGTTCCATCACCACTCCGTACTTACATACTCTCACTTTTGTTTACATGCACTACACTTCCGCACATTCCGGAAGACAGGTTGGGAGCTATGAACGTACACACGTAAAATTTATTACTTCGGATTATTAAAGAATAGAAAATGTCGAAGGATAAGAACAAATAATTTAATTACGTAGTGAATATATTAATATAACTACTATTTCAATTACAAATATTATGTTACCAAAAGTAAACACAAGAGCAAACTATTTTCACAGCACTCCGAAGAAAGTGACTTCAAAAAAGAATAAAAGTTATATAAGTGAATTATTTTAATTTCTTCTGATCTTTTTTTTATTTTGCTTTCTATCAGCAGTATTTGACATGAACATTGGCGGCGATGGTGTAACGGTTAGCGTACTGGACTGTTGTACCCAAGTTGGCGGGTTCAAATATCGATCAAACCCGATCGAAGCCGTGGATTTTTAAGGGCGACAAAATC